CTTACTACTAGGAGCAAGGACGCTACTAGGCGCAATTGCATGCATTCTTCCACTTCTTAGCTGCCTGATTTGGGCTCGATCCGGCAGAAACGAGTGCCGTATCTGGGCTGATTGGCAGATTCTAAATGGATGTCCTGACCTACTCACCTACTCGTCCACCCATGCGAAGGGGTAGAGGACCACAAGAATGGCAGACAAGAGTATATCGGTATTCGTGCCTCATTGCCTCATTTGAGACAAACTCATCTAAACTTTTGCTCAGATGGGGGGCGTTTGCATTGTTCCCCGCCCTCACTAGAATTGTGTCCCAACGATTCTTCAGCTAAAGAGGTCATGCTAGATTTGCGTTCGAACCAGAGAGTCACCACAATCACTGGACTGGCCGACTACCCCGCTGTGTTACTCAAATCCTTATAAATCTGCAGTCTCCCCCTGTAGATTGATCGGATCCTGTTACTAAGCATTCACGTTCATAATTATTTAATCGACATGAGCTTCTCACAGCCTCACTGACACAAGAAGCAGTCTCTCTGAAGATGTCCTTTATTAGCCTCAGAGTTTTACTCAGCTGACAGAGCTAGCTGCGAAGGAGGGACACCTATTTCTTGAGTCTGGCCCTATACTTTCTATTTCTATGCGTGTCTAAAACAATATACTTATGCACTGAGGCACCTTTTACAAGACAAAGCTTTGCCGCTTTTCTCAGATGGGTCACTGACGCTCGGCATAGTTAAGTGTAGCCAGCTGGTTAGGCCTGACCTCCAAAGAACGTGCAAATGAGCGATGCCAACGATCGCCATGAACCGATCGCAAGAACTTGCAAGTCCTCATTTAATTTGAAATGATATTCTGACTCCCATGGTAGGAGGCTTGAAGCCACCAATACCTCTCCCTCCAATCTTCCCACAGCTCTTACAGAGCCTTAGGTGCCTTGGGTCTGAAGTGCAACTTTGCACATTCAGACGAGGACCGGTGGGAGACAAGACAAGCTAGCAGCGAACTCGAAAGCTTGGTCGATCTTTGTGTATGATGGGTTCCAACCTTGTGCAGAGACTCTTTTCACACATTGCTTTCGCAGTAGCAGGGACATGTAGACCCTTGCCAAAAGGTGGAGTTCCACCTCAGTAAAGCAGGCTAGCAGCAGCTGTGAAGCTGCAAAAACCAAGAGCTTTGAACCCCTTTGAAGTCGATATCCTCTTCCACTTAAACATACGTTGTCAATTTCTTCACATTTATGTGCACCTTGGACGGCTTTCAATGGCTGTTGAGGGTGAGTGCTCTTTGGCATTAAATTACAGTATACAAAAAAAAAGGAAACCCGGAAGCCGAGAGTCGCAGGTCAAGACTTCTCACTCAGGCTGGATCCACATCTTTTTTCCCCCAAGAGTATCGAGTAGTGAAACTTTTTGGTAAAGATGAGTCCTTCCGTCTCGATGCAGGAGATCCGCCCTTTGGACACCACGAAACTTCCAGAGCCGCCGGTGGAAATCACTCCGGAGCCCGGGCTCCGAAAGCAGCCATGTTGCCTTTATTGACCAATTGACCAATAAAAAACCCACCACAGCAAATCATTGTCTGAATGTGTACTGCAAAAGAAAATCAAACAAATCAAAGGCAACGTATGCTGATCGAGCCGATTGTGATTGATAGCTTCATATCATACCGAATCATACTTAAAAGAGAATACACCTCCCACCCTCAGCACTGAAGGTGCACGAAGCATTCAAACCCTTCAGCACAGCATTCCCAACTCCGAATATCAATGTGAACTGTTGACAGGGAAGATGGGCTTGTGCGATTGGTAGAAACAAATCAGCTGCTGCGGTTCGCCGCATGTGAGCCCAGCATTTATACATATATATATATTATATTCTAAACGGTGTTTGGCTGAAGAGTTTGAAGATGTGGTCCATCTACCAGCTCAACCTAGATTTTCCTCGCAGTGAACCGCCCTGCGAGTCTGAAGAAGCTGCAGCTGAATGTTCTTTTTTGAAGCCTCACACGACACCTGTAACATCCTGCAAAGTGGACACCATTTCGTTCACATGAGAACTCAAAGTCAAGTACCGTTCTAGTCTGTATGTACCTTGGCCATGCATAAGCGCAACATCACCTTGAGATGAATCCACAGGCAACCAGAGCACCCCTCCTAACACCAAGACAAGAACAAACATAAAAAAGCACCATTCCCACATTGTCGTAGCCTGTGGTTGTCACTTTCTGAAATGACCAGCTTTGCTCCAGGAGCCCAAGAAGACCAGCCGACCTAAGGAGATTCTTCAGAAAGAGAACCGCATGGCCAGGCACAACCCATCGGTTATTTTTGAGATCCAGCGGTGGATGACTTCAACATTACTTTTTTTGTTGTATTTGGACATGGGATGAAGTAGCCTGCTCACCTGCAGCCAAACGACAATCTAAAGCCTTGCCAATCAATGTGCTGATTTTCCCACCTGTACACAGGCCTCAGTTGCAGCAGCAGACCGCTTTACAGCAGCAGCAGAGGCACTTGGAGCAACAACAGCAGCAACTGCAGCAGCAGCGACTTGTGCTCAATCAGGGCCATTCACCGGACTGCTATGAACGGAATAAGTGCCCTAATAGAAGTTAGCATGGCTGTGTGAATCACTTGAAGACTGAGGAAGTGATAGCTGTCTTTTGAATGACGTGGCCACTTCAAACGTGTGGCGTTTGGGGCTCAAGAGTCAAACCGGTGTGCCATGAAACCAACAGGGCTGTTGCTGGTGTGGCTTGTTAAGATTTTGGAAGTGGGGTTCCGGCAACTTCCTAAAGGAAGCCCACACTTGGAAACTGCACCTGTTGTTCACATCAATCAGACTTGCTACTGCGATTGTTCCTGTCGGGCTGGACCAACGATCTCTCTTGACTTCATTCCGGGCTTCTTGCTCGGGCTCCTGACGTGCCTAGTGGGGTCACGGTGCCTTTGCAGATCTGGCCAGTCTCGGAGTCATGAGTTATCGCCATCCTCGAGGCGACGCGGAAAGGGCATTGTTGTCATGCCTTCCCGGGCAAATTGCAGCTGTCTGGTACTCTGATGATGAGGTGTTTCATGAGCGTATCATGATATGGAGAGTAGATGCTTTGACATGGTATGTGTTGACCCCTGACAGAGACTTGTGTGCTGAGAACTTTTCGGGGACATCGGACAACGGGCCAGTCTCTTTCAAGCTGGAGGGTGGTGATTTCAAATACTTCTCTCGGCTGGGCCAACCTGTTTACCGATTTGATGGGTACCCTTCAAACGAAGAGTTCAAGGAGTATGTTGAGACCGCTTTGAAGGAGCTTGGCATCTTAGGCAAGGCCGATATGGGATGGAGACCTCAGAAGATCTTTGACATGGATGGCGCTGAACATGAGGCCACAGCCTTTCTGGGATGATTGCTTGTCCCAAGGCGCATCCGCGGGGGTGATCAAGGGAGGCTCGAACTTCCAACAGAGACTCATGTAGCTGATGTTGGCCCTGGGGTTGCACAGGCTCCGGATGGATCACTTTGGGTTGCAGTTCATCCCACTCTGGACTTTAAGCTGGGGTGGGAAGCGGTGGACAGCCTGAACAAAGGCGTTAAGCTCGATGACATCCACTGTGCTGTTCCCGGACCACGGGGCTGGACGATATTCAAATTGGTTGGTGCAGTTCAGGCTCCTGCCGTGGTTGATGACTTGAAGAGTGCCTTGAAGCGCAGTCTAGACTTAGGCAAAGTTGAACCTTCAGCTGAGTCCAAGATTGCAGACCCCAAGGAGGAGGTTGGAGGCGATGGGCCGGAGGAGACCGATGATGCAAGAACCCTGCCTGTCGAGTATGATGAACAAGGGGAAAGATACAAACCTTGGAGAGATGTTTGCAAAGAGGTTCGTGAATACAGCTACCCAGACTGGGTGCATGAGGGGCCCCAATCCTGTTTACATCTCATCAAGCATATGCAGAAGAACGGCGGGTCCCCGAAGTTGTGGCTCCAAGTTTGGAGCCGGTTCAAGGGCACCCAGGACAATGACCGGGTCATGCACGAGATGAGGGTTCTCATGGAGTGCCTGGAGCATGGTGGATCATATGACCAGCTGAACCTTGCTAGTCTGGCCTGCATGGAAACAATTTCAAGACGAGTTCAAAGCATCGTTGATGCCTACAACAGTGGCAGCAGCTCTGCTCCAGATTGGGGAGCAGCCCGCATTCTGTCCGGCTACCAAGGACCAGAAGATGTGGTGACGCCGGGTCTTCGCTCTTGGGCAGCCAAGAAGGGCAAAGAAGAAGTTGAATTGGCCGCTGCCAGAGCCAAGATCAGGGAGCACAAGAAACTCTCCATTCCCACTGACGAGGCGGCCAAAGCGATTGCTGATGGAAATCCTCCTCAAGGCGGAGGTGAGGGCAAGCCGAAGCGCAAGGCAAAGGTGAAGCCCCTGGCTCCGCCAGCTGACTCATGAAATCAGTGGGGGAGGGTTCAGATGTCCTCGTTTCTGGATCCTCCTTCTTTACCAAGTTTGGGAGGCAGCCGTCCAGATCCAGCTCGGCGTTCACGAGACTTGTTTCCCTTGCCAGTTCCTGCTCCTTTGAGGTCCGTTTCGGGATTGTTGAGAAGGAGCTCGCAAAGATGGCAACGAAAAGTTAGAATTAGGGAAACGGAAATCGAGGCTGTCAAAGCCTTGAACTGGATGGTGAAGAAACAAAGTTTTTTGCATGATGAAGTGTCGGAGTCTCTGACGCCTGATCCTCTTCAGACTGAGGCTTTGATGAGAATTCATAAGATGGCAGTCGACATTGGGCACAGTGTTGAGTGCCCTAAATCTGCTGAGGCAGCCCTTCAGGTGCTGACCTAAGCTCATGCTCAAGGAGACGGTGGATGCCGAATCTCCTCGCCCATACTGGGATCCGGTTCTCGCTAATAGCAGAAAGCACTATCGTGAGTTCATTCAGAGACTTGACAGCATAGGCTTGTTGCAGTATACCCAAACCCCTAAGAATCATGTTGGAGTCTTTTTCGTTTTTAAAAGTGATGGCAAAAAGATTGACTCATTGTTGATGCTAGATCGGCTAATGTTCGTTTTGCTGAGCCGCCCGGAGTTGAACTATGCTCCAGTGAAGGGTTCAGTAGGATCGAATGCCAATTGTCACCCAAAGCACGCCCAGGAAACCAAGACTTTGTGGACGAGCTGAACTCAATGAACCTGTTCATTGGCTTAAGCGATGTGAAGGACTGTTTTCACAGGCTCAGACAACCGAGATGGCTTGCAGAGTACTTTTGTTTTATGCCAATCCGGGCTCATTGGGTGGGTCTTGGTGGGAAGGTGCTGGATGGCGTGACCTTGAAGGGCAACGACCTTATCTATCCCATGCCAGGCTCTCTGTGCATGGGCTTCAGCTGGTCATTGTTTTTTAGCCAGAAGATCAATGAACATCAGTGTCAACTAACACGGAGCTTGAAAGACTCCAGCTTGATCAGTGACAAGGGTCCTCCAGTTGTTTTTTGCAGTGCAGCTTCAATGCAGGATCAAAGTCAGTCCACTCGTCATTACGTCTATGTAGACAACCTTGGAGTCCTCTCACCTCATGAGGGAGTTGTGCGTGGCGCCCTCCAGGACTTGGACGAGCACTTCGGCGGCCGGGGATTGCTTCTTCATCCTCAAAAGGTGGGTCAGCATGAAACCAAAGCCTTGGGGACTTTGCTTGATGGCGCGCGTTTGTGTTCACGGATTACCAGTGACAGATTCCATCGCGTGCGTCAGGCCATCAGAGGGCTTCTACGCAGAGGGCAGGCGAGCGGTCAGACCTTGGAGATTGTGAATCGGACATTCAACGTTTTGTGCATTAAATAATCGCATGACTGTGTCAGGTTTCAGTTCTTGCTACAAGTTCATCCAAAAGAACTATTAGAACCGTGCAGCACTGTGGGAATCCGTTCAGGAGGAGCTTATGGCTTTTTCTGGACTGATGATTTTCCTGCAGTCAGACTGGTGGAAGCCTTGGAATGAGCTTGTTTGTAGCAGTGATGCTAGTACAACTGGGTATGGGGTGTGTACAGCCTTTTGGGATCTGGAGGATGTTAAGAGAGTAGGTAGAGTCAAAGAACGGAGTCGGTTCAGACGTGCTTCAGGCCATTCCGCTCGAGAATCTTCCCTTACAGCTGCAGGTTTCGTGAGAGATGACATCACGGGTCAATGGCAGTCTGGTGAAATAGATGCGCAGACATATTTGAATTTGAGTGGGTGGCAGCTTGATGAGAACTTTGATGAAGTTCCTGCCAGGCTCTTGCGACGTGCCTTGTGGACACCAAAGCTTTGGGGTCATTGGCAGTATGGAGACGAAGGCATCATAGTTCTGGAAGCGAGAGCTGCTGTGAAGTCTTTGAAACGGATAGCTATGAGCATGTTTGGATCACAGATAAGACAGCTTTTTCTTCTGGACAATATGTCTCTGGTCTTGGCTCTAGAGAGGTGTCGCAGTAGGCAGCATGCATTGTTGAAGCAGGTTCGGATTTTTTGTGGCTATTGTATTTGCAGAGGCATTCAACCAGCTTTTAGATGGATCCCAAGTGAACTTAATAATGCGGATGAACCCTCTCGATATGGTACAGATGAACCCTCAAAACTTCTGACCTCTCTTCTCGACAATGGCACCAAAGAGAACTCGCTGCCTGCCGGCGCCGAAGACAGTTCAGCCGGCAGGAAAACGTCGGGTGGAAAAGGTGTTGAAGGCGGGAAAACCGCTTTCAGAACCACCAATCCGTTCTCAAGCCAGCCCCTCTTCGAGATCAAATCGCCACTTCAGCTCTCTTGCCAGAGAACTAAAAGCTGGAGGAAGTGAATGTGAACGATGCCCCGGTAGTCAACAAGGCTCCACACTCGAAGTCAAGCAGCTCAGACAGCAGCAGCGATGTCGACCTCAGGGGAAAGACCCAAAACACTCTCCACAGTCGTGGGAAGTACTTTGATGTTCTGGTGTTTTGCTAGACACTTACATCTGTTACAGCAAATGCTTACTGCTTAGTAACAGCCTAACAGGTACTTATAAAGCAGTTATAACTAGTTATAAAGCTTGCAACTCATTTGGTTAAACCTGCTCCTCTGGTTGACAAGTGAAAAAAGCTGTGTCTTTGGCCATTGCAGGCTTGACTTTGGCCTCTCCAGGCCTGTCTTTTAGGCCTATATAGGCCCATGTTTCGGCCTCTACAGGCCCAAAGATTGGCCTCTACAGGCCCAAAGATTGGCCTCTATAGGCCCATGCATGCATAGTTTTCCAAAAGATTGTTTTAAGCATTCCTGCCTTTTGTGGTTGTTTTTTTACCCTTTGGTTATAAAAACAACAACAGAATTTTAAATTTGTTCTTCTCAATTTTTTCAAATGGAAGATGATTTTCTAGAAAATAATTGAAGCCAAATGGTTTTTTGATGAAGCACAACACTAAAAAAAAAAGGTTTTCAAAGTGATGATTTTGGAGGTACTAACTACTTACTAAAATTTTATAACTAGTTAGTAATCATTTACCTAACCTTCTTAATGTACATAACACTGTAGCAAAACACCAGAACATCAAAGTACAGAAGAAAGAAATATGTAGACCTGCTGATGGCAGGCCAAGGTCCCGACAACCTGAGCTTGTTGGAACGTCGGGCCGTGGGACTTGCCACCGAAAAGATGTACGTGAAAGAGTACGAAGAGTTCATGACCTTCGCCAGACCGCGCGGCTTGAACCTAGACCATGCCGAAAAGGTAGATGCGCTCTTGGTGGAATTCATGAACCTCCAGTTCCTGAGTGGGCACCAAGCTTACAAAGGGGACAGGCTGATAGCCAGCTGGATGCACCACCGTGTGATGTTCAGCAAGGTTGGCGCGAAGAGGATACCAAGAGCATTGAGGGCTTTGAAAGGCTGGAGGAGACTGTGCTCTGGAAGGTCCCGTACACCATACCCTTTGGCGGTGTGGTGCGGGATGGCAGCGCTGATGAAGGAGATGGGGCACCCTATGATGAGCATCTTTGCCATGCTGCCCCTCCCTCGGAGATTCTTCGAATGAAGACCTTCAGCTTAGTCCAGCCAGCCCCTGGGGTGACAACCGCTTGGAGCGTGTTGTTGAATCCAGAGGAGCTGGGACAGCCGTCAAAGACCAACGAATACGATGTCAGCATCCTGTTAGACTCGCCCTATATGACCTCCTGGAGCCCTCAACTCTTCAAGGTGATGAAAGAGGCCAGATCGACCGATGCACTCTGGGATTTCAGCTACAGTCAGTACCTGACGGTCTTCCGCAAGTGTGCCGACCAGCTGGGATTGAACCTCAGCCCCTACCACTCCAGGCGCAGCGGTCCTTCGATCGACCGTGCGAAGAGCCTGAGGAGTGCCTTGGAGGTCCAGAGACGGGGAAATTGGAAAAGTGTCAAGTCGGTCCAACGATACGAGAAGGCAGCTCGCTTGGCCCGCAGTTGGGAGACAGTTCCATCGGCAAGTCAGCACTACTGCCTAGCATGCGAAAAGGACTTCGCGGCCTTCATGCTCGGCCGCAAGCGATTGCCTCCGTCCGCTTCCCTAGGCGGAATGAGAAAAGCTGCTACATAGCTGATCTTTTTTCTGGAGAAGGTGGTGTTGCAGCCGCATGTGAGAGATTGGGATTTAGTGCACGGCAATGGGACATCCGTTTTGGACATAGGTGTGATTTGACAAGTGAACCTGTCCTCCGAGCTTTGAAACATGATGTCAAGACTGGCAAAGCGATTGCTGTCATGATGGCTCCTCCTTGTGATTCGTTTTCAGTCGCCAGGGACAGGACCAAAGTCATTCGCACTGCACTAGAACCTTGGGGTGTTTCTGCAAAGCTGTTGACAGAAGTCGAACAACACAAAATACAATCGGGCAATGCTTGCTTTTCTTCTTGTTTCGCACTTATTCGCATTCTTGATGCTCACCATGTGCCTTGGATTTTGGAGAACCCTGCCTCCTCGAATTGCTGGTATCTCCCCTTTTTCAAACAGTTGGTGTTGCAACCGCATGTGAAGTCCATTGTTGCTGATTTTTGTCAGTTTGGTACACCATGGCGTAAGCGCGCAAAGTTCTTAGCTGGCAATATTTCCGCAGATGACTTGCGCAGAATTGAAAAGCGCTGCTCGGGCCGTGGCTTGTGTGATCAAACCCATCGAGCTCATTTTCAATTGACTGGCACGGGCCCGGGTGGTCGCAACTGGACTGCTATAGCTCAGCCTTATCCAAAAAGACTATGTGACGCTTTGGCTCATGCTCTCACAGCGCAATGGCATTACAATCAATTAACAATCCTGGCTAACAATTCTGCTTTGGGGAATTGGCTTGGGGTGAAATCGAAGTGTCTTGACAAGTGTGCCTTCTTTAGCCTTGAGTTGCCCTTTCCAGGCGGCAACAGCAGCAGAGCCACGACATAGCCAAGAGCTTTCGAGAAACTGCAACCGCGAAAAAGTCGGCGGCAACGACTGAAGTCTGGCTGCGCGAATCACTTGAAGACTGAGGAAGTGATAGCTGTCTTTTGAATGACGTGGCCACTTCAAACGTGTGGCGTTTGGGGCTCAAGAGTCCCTGAACCCACCCACCCCCAAGGGGTGAAATCGAAGTGTCTTGACAAGTGTGCCTTCTTTAGCCTTGAGTTGCCCTTTCCAGGCGGCAACAGCAGCAGAGCCACGACATAGCCAAGAGATTTCGAGAAACTGCAACCGCGAAAAAGTCCGGCGGCAACGACTGAAGTCTGTCATTGTAGAGTTTCTTTTATGAAGGACACTAAGGACATTCGCCCATCCTCAATGTCGAATGCTCAGAGATTCACCATGAGGAGTACTGCCAGTGCAGAGTTCACCCGGGTTCCCCTCAAAGTCCACGTAATGTAGACCCTTGATTAATAACCCACCCATTCTTCATATGGGGATTAACAAAACAACATTTATTCACCAAGGGTCTACATTAGCACGACGGCTTCAGACGCGAATCGACCAAGTTGCCCACTATCGAGCGATGGGTGACCCATTCATCTGGGGGTGCGGTGTGCAGAGGTTTACGGAAGGAGTGATGAGCGATGCTGAGCGAATTTGTAACGGGCTGAGGCAACTGCAGCAGCAAATCCAGATGCAGCAGCAGCAACTTCATCAGATCCTTGGCTTCGTGCAAAGGTTGACCCAATGGTCTTCAGGCCAACCTGTTTCCTGGTGAAGACCCCCTGGCCGCATCAGCTTTGTGTTGGTGTTAGACGTTGCTCAAACTTTCACACGACATGGGTATGCAGCGTTCTCCCACTTTTTGTTGTATCGTTCTTGTTGGCGCCCTCACACACACAGAGCATCAGCAAGTTAGGCTCCACGCACTTCCCTTGAAGCTGATGAACTTGAGGCAACATCACCAGTTGATGGAGCAGCAGCAACAAAACAAAATGTTGACATTAGCCCTGCAGCAACTTGGCAAAGTCATTGTAGCAGACGAGTTCAAGGGCGCAAGCAACTAGAAGAATACTGTACTGAATGAGTAGAGTATGTTTGATTGCATTGTTTTGGGACGTGGCCGTGGTTACACGCTGCCTTGAAAGCATCGCGACCCCGGTCACTCTTGCATTTCAATAGAGTACCTCTAGGTTTCAATACCTCTAGGTTCAAACAGCATTTCGCCTTTTTGATGCATCCTGCTTGCATGACTAGTTTCCCCTTGCTCGGGTTCCATTGTCAGATTTGGTCGTTGTTCAGGCAGCAGCTGGCTTTGAGCTTCTTGCCTATAATTCATACATGCTTTCTGAGAAGTTTGTGCTGAATCGGTGGCATCCTCTTTTGTCCACTGCAGCTTTTTAAATCAAATACATTGGCTAGTGTTTGAGCAGGGAATCTCAACATGTTCGGTTTACAGTTGCATCCCAAATCCATAGACAAATTATGTAGATGAACAAGTACAGGGAAGATGTCAGAATCCCCGTATCAAGAGGTTGAAGGCAATGCAGTTCTGGATTTCGACGATTTGCATTTCTATTGCAGGTACCAACAGCCTTCTTCCTGGCGGCCTCCTCGGATTATCGCCGCTTCAAAACTCCCCAGCTGTGTCAGGCCAGGCTGTCAATGCCTCCAAAGGTTAGCCAAACTTGGTTGAAGCGTACGGAGCTGGTCCAGAACCCTGTGGGTTCCAATAGAAAGCCAATTCAAACATCACTCCCGTGGGGCATTCCATATTGAACACCACACCATACCATACAGCACCAGACAATTTGTCAAAGTCACTTTGGTTGGGCTTCACCATTTCCAAGATCAAGAGTTTGCACACAGTCCATTGTGGGATAACCACCCTAGCTTTATGTTGACCAATGGCAGCCATACACGACCAACCATCAAATAATTTTTTTTTGCAAAAGAAAAAACACATAAGCAAATGAATATGCAAAAGCAGCGCAAGTTGCTTTGTTTTTTGCATTTGTTTTGCTTTTGTTTGCTTTTTTCCTGGTACCACTTCTGCACTTATGAGAACGTTTACCCGTCAGCAATATTTGCTGTACGCTCCTAGGAAAAAGCGAAAATATGCGAAAATAAAGCGAACACATGTGAACATAAAGCGAAAAAACATGCGAAAATACAGCGAAAAAAAGAAAGTGAAAAAAGGCGACAAACACGCACAGCTATATAATCACAGCTACATGTTTTTGCTTTTTTGTTTTCTTTGCCTTTTGCTTTTTTTTGCTTTGTTTTTGCTTTATAAAACTATTTTGGCTCCTTCCGACATAACCCTAGCTCTCTCCCATATTCGATTGATGCTTTCCAAAACATGTTTCGCTCACGACCGCAACATGTGAGCAGATGGCCTACCAACACTTGTGTGATCTTGGTTTTGGCCGCCAGGTCCTTCAGATAGTGACAGCAAGCCAAGGGAGGCAGGACGGTTGGGACCCAACAAGATCCGTTGAGGTTTATCACCTGCGGGCAGACCACATACTAGGGGCGTGTGCCAACTTGGCTTGGTTACCTGGCAATCGTTTGCTTTGCTGGGCTTTTGGCTGCACACCTAAACTACACGCCCGTGCAGACAGTTGAGTTGAAAGGAGACGGTGCTCTTTCCGTGGCGTACGAGCCTCCTAGTAGAATGGAATTCATCATGGAAGCAGGTTCAGAGATTCGACAATTCCATCTATATACTTCAACTGCACAAGATTAGGATGAACTCTGCAAATGAATCATGGATGTTCTGATATAAAGTTAAGTTAAGATTGGTTACATAAGTGTCCCTAACAATCTAGGAACCAAATGAATAGTGCGAGCGCTTCTTCAAGGAAGCTCCCCCCACCGCCTTCAGGGCGGCGGGGGGAGCTTCCTTGAAGAAGCTATCGTGCGTCCATACTAGTAGCTTAAGTAAGGTACTAGCTACCTCTCCCTTACTTACATAATTAAATAGGGAGGGGGAGCTGGCCGCTGGCCAAAAAAAAGACACACGTTTCTGAGAAGTCGTGTTTTTCGATGCGAGTCGCGAGTCGGATCGGTCCTGAAGCCATCTCGCAGGCGCATGGAAAGCGTCGTGGAGGTCGTCGGGGAAAGGCTTGCCGCGTCCCAGCGAAGAGCCGTTTGGGCCGCAACGGAATTTGGACCAGCCTAATAGATGTACTACATCAGATCATATCAGATCTCTCAGTTTGTCAGATTCTAGCTTGATGTTTTTTCGCCCTTTGTAGGGACGCGGGTGGGACCAGGCTTTTGAAGCACGCATAGCAAGTTGCAGTAGCAGATACTTGCTTCTATTCTTCGCCACAAGCAAGCCAAGGTGAAAGTGATGAACAGAGAGACGATGGGGTTCCAGCCCCTGGTGCTCCTCCAGGCGGGTCCTTGTATTTCCTTGCGAGGACAACCACTTGTCGTGAGCGGTGTCGCTGTAGCGTCCAAGTCACCTCATCAATAACGGCACCTTATCTCCACTTACATGAACTCATGTACACAGTCGGTAATCTTCTCCTCACCTGGCTTCATGCAATCCCTTGTGTTTGACAGAAAGATCATCTTTGTTAAATTTATATAGATCTATCATGTCATAAGCTGGCCTTATTGCAAAGCAACCTGCGTTTGCCCGCATCCTAGCAAATGCTTGCTTGACTTAAGGACGAGCTAGGGCTTCATTGGGGTTCGAGCAGTTATAATGCAGCGAGAAAAAGCTCAGAAGCCCTGCCAAAAATGTTATAAGAAATTTTCAGATCAACAAGAAAAGCAAACGCAAAGCCATTGCCACACAACAAGAGGCCCAACATGCCACTGTGTGCTTTTAGGATACCCCTCGTGATTCAGCTCCGGATGGCAGGCATCCCACCACTGGGCTTGGAAGGCACCATGTGGATTCCCGGACAAGCTACTTGGAACCTGAAATGCGTGGATGTAGCCAAGCACCCCATTTGTCAAGTGGTTGGCACTCCTGTTGTTCCTGCCAGTAGCTTTATCTGGAAACACCCATGCGGCTCTTCGACCAGTTTGGATTGAAGCAAATGCCAAACAGCTAACAGCTAGCGGAGGAGGTGCAGTGCTGTGCACTCTCTTTCTTCAAATCAATCTGAAAGAGCTGGGACTCGCTTCTTAGTCGTCAGGCATTACAGTAGTGTTTTGTTGGCAGTGTTTGTGTTGCCATGAAACTGTTGCAGTATCCAGCTTCTGGTAGTGATCGTGATGTTGCACATGGAGGGCCCCAGTAGTGTTTACTGATCGGAGTGTCCCAAGTCTCTTCGGAAATCATTGAATTTTGCCTTCAACCGTGGCACCTTTGATTCAAGAGCTAAGGTCAGAAGTCTTCTCAAAAACCGACCAACACTGACCAACATAACTGCCTGCCAACTTCATTGTCCGGCTCAGCTCTTTCTGCCAAACCGAACACCATTCATGGGGGGTCACAGACTTGGGAACCGATTTAGTTTTCCATCTTGCCTCAAATGCAAAGCAAGATGTAGCGGATGTAGCAAGAAAGCAAGTTTTTTGGGGATTTTGAGGGACCATATGACTCACACCCATGTCGAGAACATCCAAACAACCTACTTTGACACAGAAGTACAGGGCTAGTGCTCTTATGTGTATATGATTGTGTTCTGCTTTTCAGAACGCCACGCTGCGCGCAGCGCACTCGACTGTGTGAGGTTCGCAGTGGACCTCGAGTTCCGGGGCCCCTGGATCGAGACGAGCGAGGTGCCTCGGCCGGAGCCGCGCCCTTCGCGTCGACCGGCCGCGTTCAACGTCGTGTGAAACCGCTTTGCAGACCGGAATCCCACGGAGCCAATGTTGTACGCTTTTTGTTCCTAGTAGCGATGCCCTTGTTACTAGATGCTGGACATTCTGACTTTATCTATAAGATTACCATCACAACCACACAGTGCTTCACAGTGGAATTCATATGGAGGAGTTTCCATCGGGAGAGACTCCTTTTAGATATTTTTAGATCCTTTTAGCCGCAGTTCTACAGTAATTGGCAGGAATGTTTTCATGCGGGGTACAAGGTGATGTTTTTTTGTATCCTTTTTTGTTTCAACACCTATGTTGCGAAGTATGTTACACAGCAAGACTGGAGGGTTTGAAGCGATGTAGTTGCACAACAGCTTCAGTCTGGCAGATCGATGAATTCACAGTTCTAGCTTCTTGTTCCTAGTAGTAAGGCCAGGAGCTGCTACTAGCATCCTTGCCCCTAGTAGCGATGCCCTTTGCTACTAGTAGCGATGCCCTTGTTCCTAGTAGCTTCTTGTTCTTTCTTCCTGATTCATACAGTACTTGCCACATTCCGAGGCTCGAGGTCTTGTCGGCCGTTTAGGGGCACAGATCTCTTGCAGAAAAATAGCCCTCGAGGATTGAGAATAGTTGAATAGCTGCCCTGGGCACCAGCATGGTTTCCAAGTCTGTGCCCAATCATTTGCATTCTTTCACTTCCCCTCAACCTCTCAAGCCGGAAGTCCGATCTGTTTATGTAAATCTGTTTATGGTATTTGGAGAAGTTTCGTGTCGGAAGTGAAGTGAGGGTGGACTCTTGAAGGGTCTGTCCTCCAAAAACAGATCCATCTCCCCGGCTGCGCAGAAACTCTCAGGAGATCTGAGGGCAGCTCCTGCATACGTGACGTCCATGGGCGCTGCCCTTTCATCTATGGGTAGTGCCGTGGTCAACAAGACGTTCCTCGAAAATGAGCTTGGGCCTATTGGGAGCCTTGGCACAGGAAGCTATAGCAGCTATAGGGATACCTTTGTTGAAGGAATGAGTGCAAGCTCTTTCGTGGACCGAACGACAGCTTCTCAAACCACAGAACTTGTCATTTAGTCTTGCCACCACAGGCTTTTGTTTCTCCACACGACATGTGTACCCATAAGAGAACTTCGCGCATAGAATGACGGTTTTTGCATCGACCGCTATGCTGACCCATGATCACCCATGATTTTGTACAGGTATATAGCCGCTTCAACTTTTGGATGCAATGATGACTCATATGATATATCTCAAGAGCGCAAGGATTCGCCACCAGCACCAGCACCATGCTGGGCGGCACAAGCGCCGGGTCACTACGGCGTTTCTCCGGGCGTCTCTGAGGAAGATGAGGCCCATCCGCTCTGCTGCGGGCCGATTGGATCGGTTGGCTGGCAGTGGCGGCAGTGACAGTGAAGATGAAGAATTGGACAAGGAAGGTCTCTATGATCCTTGGCCGTCGCCAGTGAATTGTGTTGGTTTCCTCATACAGTTCCTTTTCTTTTTGTATTTTTGATGATTCAGGTTCCTAAATGTTCAAAAAATCAGTTGTTGCACCTTACAAGGGATTTCCACTTTTGTTGGGTGATGCTGGCTTCGACACGTGCAGCGGGTGATGGAAGCTTTTTGCGCTTCAACAAAGAGGTCCGACCGGGAAGTGGAGGACACCTCACATAGCGCGTTTTTCGTGCGCAAAAGTTTTTGTTCCTCATCGCATTGAAAGGTATCCTGACTTGTCAACAGCGGGGGTTACTCCCGTTTGTTTGCTGAACAAATCCATCTATTCACGTGGCAGCTCCGCGGTTTCTACGCCTAGTGATTTATATACGTTGCGTTAACCTCCGGTTGTGATTCCCAGATATTCCAAATGCTTTTGGGCACTTGCTCATTGTGGAATTTGCTCGCTGAGGATCTTTCGCAGGCTGCAGGTGTCTAAGCTGTGTTTAGGGGACGTGAAGCTCCTGTATAACAGTATGCATGAACATCAGACTCTTTCAAAGGTTACAAGACTTAGCACGAGAACCAGACTTGTGGGAGCTGCATGAGTTTCCAACGTCATGCCGCCACCAAATTCATTTTTTGCTGAGTCTAGGAGGTTGGCGACGAGGGCACCAGGGATGCAGGTTTTGGTACTGTTTGGACAATGCGGCTTAGAGGGAGGGTCGCAGCGACCAGTCCTCCACTTCGTGGATGAATCTAAGTCAATTGCTCTGAATGTTCACACCATCATTAACCGGCATGAAGGCCCAGCTCACAACCAACAGTGTGTTTATACCTCTTCAGACCTGCAGTCAAGCCGTCGCCATCTCATTGAGTCCATCAAGATCGAATCGCATTGTTGATTGCGGCGGTCAGTTGGCTCAGGAACCAGACAAGGCACTACTGTAGCTAGCTAGAATCTAGAAGTGAAAGAGTGAAAGAGGTATTATATAGACGGTATAAAACGCGACCTAGGGAATGGCAAGCAATAGCTACAACCTCCTGGCAAGCAGCACTAGTGAGGCCCGTTTGTTCTCTGGCAGCATGACCATTGCAAGCGTGCTGTGGCCAAGGCCTGGTGTCCCATCCACACTTCGCCCCGCCTCTGGCTGCTTTTGAGCAGCTCAAGGACAGCCAACGTGCCGGCAGCAGCTCGGCTGTGAACTGGAAACTCAGGCGATTCAAATTCAAAGCTGCATTCGATTCGGAATAGCCCAGCTTCACTGACCCCGACCTATCCTTCCCCAGTACTCCCACCAGATCGGATCAAATCCGATTAAAGGTGGGGCTCCGTGTGGACGATCTGAGCTCACACCTAACGATGTTCCAAGTGGCCAAAGCACTTCCAACATCGCTGAGGTGCAGGTGCAACTTCTGCAGGTCTCTCGGAAAAGCTTTCAAGTGGAAAAGGCACTTCTGAGAACTTTTGAGTTAGCCGTGCAAGAACAGAGCTTATGATATTTTTGGTTTTAGGTTCTAACATGATAAACACATGTCATATGTTTGAGTGACGAGCTGTATTTCAGGCCTGCCAATGTGTAGATGAAATATCCCAGCATCCTTTGCACAGGTCCCGGCCAGATTACATCTAGTTTATTCTAGTTTTGCACCCTTTCGAGATGAGGGCGAAACCGTGTGTGTACCAATCGCAAAATCATCAAGCTGTGAATCTCCCACACCGTTTGGCTGTGTTTTCTTTGGAACGTTGGCAGTTTGTCCCTAGTGAAGCAGACAAGGTTTGTTGCTGTAGAGCAGAAGGGAGTATGTGCTTCAGAGTCAATGAAGAAATGCAGCACAAGCTGTGGGGCTGGATGCCCTCCACATAAGGTTCCACGCAGGCATGCCCTTCGCAAGCCAGCACCAGTCTCAACGCTGCAAATGGCCTTTGGGACTCGCAGCTCTACCCCGCCGCTGGCTATCCAGATGCCAGGGAGGACATATGGCAGGCATGGCCACCCGAGAGTTTGGGAGGGGAGGAGGGCGAATGGTGCAACTTCCGTGCCCATTTCAATGTTGCGATCAGACAGTTCCTCAGGAAAAGCTACTTCCTTGGAAGTCACCTTAGGAACCGGAACTGCACTTGTTCCTGCGGCTCTAGGAGGGGCACCTTACATTCTATAACCATCTTCAGACCCAAAAGGGGCTTGTGCCAAGCCTCCAGCCACACAGACGCACTTCGCCAGCCAGGCGGCTAATGGAGCCCAGCCGTACCCCTGTCTTGGACAATTCCCCAATGAATTGAAGAAAGGGGGGCGCCAAATGACCAACTACCGGAAGCAAGGTATTCTTTTCTGTCGAGTGTATCATTCCCAGGAGGGTTTGGTATGCACTCTGACTCTGACCGGCAAATCATTCCACTCACATGATGTAGAGACAAGCCCTGAAGACAACACAGTCGCTGCATACAGGGGGCAAAGGCGATCAAACAGCAACTGCACGTGTTTACACAACAACATAGTCCAAAGTCTCATAGTCTCATAGTCATAGTCCAAAGAGCTGCACACGAAGAGCGCTAAAGTGCTGCTCCTTCCACTGTGAATCTGCAGCACTGCATGTTTCACCTAGCCACAGCGGCCTCCCAGATGCGCAGGAGGACTTCTGGATGGAATAGGGCCATGCCGACCTCAATCCGCGCACAATGATTTCCAAGCCTTTCAGCATGAGCACCTGGCAGGTCAAAAACACCTTCCTCACCTTGTCTCCGCGCGCCAAGCCAATCCGATCTGTAAGAACAGCGGACGGCCGGGAGCCCAAGATGTTTGTGTTTTCTTCAGGAAAGGAAAGAAGGGTGCGGCTCCTCTCCTGACCATAGAAGCACTGCCGACCATTTGGCCCACAGAACCTACATTTGCTGAAGCTGTTTTCACTTCCCAGCCTCGATCCAGCACAGCAACTGTCCCGCTCCCTTACCCTTGCCTTGTTAGAACCACAACCGTAAGACCCTAAGACTTTTGTGGCAATGTCCAGTGCGGATCCCTTCCTAAAATTCTGAGACGATCTTCTGGGATCACACATACACAATGTACATTGCAAGTCTTGGGTGACCGGCAGCATTCGTCCCCGCTGAGGTGCTTTGTGTGAGCTTGGATCCTTGTTGGACGACGAAGCCTAAGCGCAGCGAGCGCAGTGAGCCACAGTGAATTCATTTTTCGTTATTCCCGGACTCCAGATGTCCACGACATGAAGGTCTGGGACACAGCTCTTTTGAGAGTGACTAAAACAGGTGTGGAAAAGGAAGCTTCGTTCAGCAAATGCCCTGTGTTTCGTTCGAGTCCGGCCAGTGCAGCCCTCATCATGAACGACCGGAGCTTCCGACACACTTTGTGTAGAGACTAGAGAAAAGAGGGGGACTACTTTAGGGCGACTTGAGGTTGCCAAAAAGTGGGGGCGGGTCTGCAGGCAGAGTAGGACCTCATTGCCCTTATACCGGATCTGGCTTTTTTATGGCTCATTTGAACAAGGGTGAAGCGCGGATGGACCACGACCATGACTCAACCAGCTGTTTTGTTTTTCCTATCATTCTTTGTGCACATGTTTTGTTCTTTTTGGTCCATCACCCACAAATTGGGTGACAGCTTTGTTGAGTACTTATAACAGTATACGGCTCATAGTCCCAAAGGGGGAAGGCCTCTATAATTTCAGGGTATATAAGTAATGTAGTCAGTTCTTGAGGGTGACGTTACCCCGTTCTATTGAACTAACTGTATTCATTGGAGCAACTAAATCCAATCCATGTCAACTAAATCCAATCCATGTCAATTTGCATCCAAGAGGCTTTTGTTCAAAGCAGCTTGTCAACCGTAGCACTGACACCGCCCCCGAACAGATGCACGCTTGAACCAGATTTCCAGTCTGGGATGTGCAAACAACTTCTGGCGGGGATCTTTGGACATTTCTTGCCCGGGCTTTCAATGAACAACTCCTTCCATCCTCTCGGAAGAGAGCAGATGATGGTGAGATTAATCATTATCACCATTTTGATGAATTTTTTGTCCAGCACGGAACACATTTTGTCAGAGAAGCAACTTGCGATTTTCTTTGTCAAAGGACTCTGACACACACACACACACTCTCTCTCTCTCTCTGTGTCTCCATTCCTGCCCAGTTTCAGAGGTAATTCTGGCATCTTCTCGACTTGAATCTTTTTTCACCCAACCTTCAGAGGAACTAGAATGTATACTTCTCCGAATAGGAGACCAAAGATCTCATTTGGCCCAAAGACAGGTTTCGGTAGCTGCGCACTGTGCACCGAAGAAATTCAGGTTTTGGGCTTCTTACACATATGTTGTGGGACAAACATAAAGGCAGATTCTCAGATAGACCAGATGTTGCGCCACTCAAATAGGCTTGGGTGATAGCTAGCCTATAACAATGGCATCTGACGATAGACTTGGTTTGAACCGTTGGGATATGCATGTCCATAAACAACAAGGAAGGTGGAAAGCAGTGACCTGTGAGGCATACGTTGTGACATACATGGCAAATAGTCAGGTACTTCTATGGTACTTAAACGGTTCCGTAACTCAGCATCCATAAGACCTTGGTGGCGACCTTTGCACTTCGGAGAATGGAGCTTGTCTCTCAAAAAGGGTGGTTGATTCCCAGGAAGTGATCCTTAAGAGGTCAACCAGCTTTCGGAGCATTTTCCAGCTTGAAGATCCCACAGTTTCTGGTGTTGAAGGCGGCAACCAGTGCACCGTTTCCAGCACCAGTTGGACCTTCACAAGACCTTTGAAGCAGGCTGAAAAGAAGCGCTTTGAAGGAGACAGTTTTAAATGCCGAGGGCACCACCGCAAAGGATCCAGGGACAAATGTTCCAACGGATCCATGAGTGCCACCAGCCCAAAAGCCACACTGTGTTGAGAACAAATGCCACTAGAAAGTAAAAAAGTACTCCATGAGCACGGCATGTGGGACACTAAGTTCGCTTTTGAACAAATCTCAATGATACTCAATATTGGTTTAAATCATGGTGTTGAGTTTGAGCATCCAGTTTCAAGACTGAGGGTGCGATATTGGCTTGGATCCAATTGGCTTGATTTACTTCTAAAGAGTTGTGGAAATCATTTGTGGGGATGGCACCCCAGGGTCAAGAGCTGTGGCCCAGAGAGTTCTGAACCATATTAGGCTCAAAGCTGTTACTAGCGATGGCCTCCAACCTACTAGGAATGGCCTCCAACCTAAGAGCGATGGCCCCCAACCTAATAGCGATGGCCTCCAACCTACTTTTGGTGCGCTTGCAAGCCTTAGCAAGCGGTACTGTTTCGTTCTTCGACTGTTTGCGGTCCCTGTTTGAGGAACGCCGTGAGGAAAGCAAGGACAATCGGTCTGTGAGGGCGAACCTCACGTGCCAATAACTTAATTACAACATTTCAGTGTGGTCTCTGTGCTGCAGGCTCTCTGCGAAATCTTAGTTTGTGCTGGCACAGGCAATCAGGGCATTCCTGACCTCATTGAGTAACTGCGAGAGCTTACTTTACTTCTTTTCACCAGGTCATTACTTGGAAAGGTGATTGTCAGGTGTCATTCAAGTCGAGCCTTGCTATTGTAGGTAAAGTAGGCACGGCTCAGTAAGCGCGACCATTTGTTGTGTGAGGACCTCTCATGTGTGTCTTCCTTCTCCTCATGCTCGTTAGACCAATGGTTGTAGACATGATGTGTTGTCAATTTCTTCGCTGTTGGCAGACAAGATTTGCACATATCGAGTTGAAGCCGATTTGGCCTGAGCCGTGGTTTGCCCGGAGTGCTGGAGAGCGATCGCCAATCATCTCTCGGCTCGGCACGAGGTCGGCCGAGAGGCCCCAGACCAATGGACCTGATCTTTGTGTCGGCCAAATGAATTTTGATCCAAAGGTAAATGAACACTTCGCAGGTTACTCATGATTTTACTCCCTTTTCTTGCATTGTTTGCGGGAGTTCATCCACCAAATCCCTTTTGAAAGCTTTGATGGTGTCGAGTTGGGCGGTCCAATTCCAGCGGCTCCGCAAGGTGGAATAAATTTACGAGCCTCTTTGACGGCATTGGTCTATCATCTATTTAGAGAGACGGCAGATCGCCAGCTTCACAGCGTATTGATTGTCAGAATGATTGACTCATTCTGATAGATTGTGTTACCTTGATGAAGGCTACCCTGCCGTGGGGCTTTAGAATAGTCTCGTGTCCTTGATGGCACCGCCTCTTTTGCTGGCAAAAACCGATCCGCTGAGCGAGGCGTGCCACTCGCAACCTAAAAGTTGAGTACAACTCACCAAGTCCATTGATTTAAGCTAAAGTGCCACGCTAGTAGTAACAGGTGCCTTACTAGTAGTAACAAGAAGCTATTAGAAACAAGTGCCACGCTTGAACAGTGGTTTCATCATCTCCACTTGGATTCATCCTGATGACGTGAAGTTCTGAATCAACTGCATTCTTGCGCCAACTCGATCCGTTGATTGAGACCGATTGCAGTGTTTGGATCGTGATCTCGTGCACGGACGAAGGGGAGGAGCGCAGAGAGCGCAGAGAGCGCAGGCACAGCTCTCGCAGCACATCCCAGTGGTGCACGCCACTATTGGAGGTGCTCCAGCCAGGGGGGGGCCGAGGGCCCATGAAGGCTCCGAGGGCCCATGAAGGCTCCGAGGGCCCATGGGGCTCGGGATGGATTTCAAGGCGTCCCGATTTCAAGATTGACCTGCTAAGCATGTCAAAGCTGACAGTTTTCCATGGAGATCCTGACTGATGACTCTGACAGCGATGTCCATAGGCATCCAGGCATCCTGAAATGTGAGTTTGATATTTGCTGGGCATCGACTCGAAGCATGGGCAGCGGAGCATTTCAGGCCGAACAACATCAGCGAAACTTATATCTTCATTGATTTTGTTATACCAGGTAGTTGTATGGAAGGCCCCATGTGGCCCTGCAATGTTCTGTTGACAGAACTGCCCGTTCGTTCACCCTTCGTGGCCTTGGTAGCCTGCTAGGAACTCGAATCTGCGGGAGAGCCCGGCTCTCAGCGACGAGGATTTCCGACTCTTCAAACGTAGATCTTAAGGAATATTTCCTGCTGGACACTAACAAGCTACACCGTCAAATCCCCAAGGCTTAGATTCAATCCTGACTGATCGTTCATTTCTTATGGGCATGAGCTATCATGAGAAATCATAAGTTGATATACGGGGTATAGCTTCATGAGCCAGGCCACCATGGAGAATGTGCTTAAAATCTATATGTGAGGCTCGAGGTTTAAGTTTAGATGGTTTAGATACTCCTTGACTGTCCTTATTGCCATGATTGGCTGCTGTGGAAGCGCCCCATCTGCCAAGCTGTGAGAGTACTGTGACCGTTCAGGTGACTGTCGGCAACCGACATGGCCTGCTGGTACCCAGCATCACCACGGATCAGGAGTGCCACAATTCAAGAGCAGCTTCCAAAGCGCTTGACACACAGCAGCTGGAAGCGCAGTGGGACTGCGTTGTTTCTTCGTAAGACTGGAGATTCTTGTCAAGAAGCTTCCTCCTCAATCGCGAGCTGTTCAGTGTGATCTATTGTTGCTGGGTCGGTCCACAGGAGCTATCTCACCTCCGAAATCACTTGCCCGAGGGGGTTCGAGCTGCTTGGTTGGAAGTTCTCTCTCGACTGAACAGAGGTGGTGAGCTCACAAGTAGAAAACGTTCCGCTTTCCCATGCCCGAGCTGACCTCGTGCCCCAGCATTGAGAGGATTGGATACCCATGATACCCAATTATTGCAATACATTGCAATGTTTGAAAGCAAAAACACATTACATAAACGACTCGGCAGAGTCTACCCTGACAAGGATTGAATTTGGAAGACTGTCTTCCAGCATTTTGATGTGGAAAGGCATCTCCGAATGGCCACAACTGGCGAGGTCATGGTACTCTGCTTCGCACTATAGTCAATGAAGTCAACTCCAGAATCATTCCATTCTGTAGCATGTTTGTTCAAGCTTCTCATTCTGCTGCACATTTGCGTGCTGGCCTAACGGTCCTGGCCGAACCTGCTAGTCCTTTCGTATTAGTAGCCTGAAAGGGAAGTCTCACACCCCACCCCACGGCTGTAACCTACCATAACTCTTGTTCGATATGGAATCCATAGGACTTGTGCCGCGACTGTTATTTTCGATTTCTCCGTTTCCGCGTCTGTTTGCGGACAGGTCCAGAAGGTTGAGGAGCGACTTTCGGCCCTCGGGAATTGCATCGCCTGCAACGACTACGTGCTGCCCGCGTTGTTGGTCTCACTTGGGAATCTGCAATATCTGCAATCAGATTCCATATGCCTTAGAAATTGAGTCGAACTTCTCATCATTCGCACTTTCTAAGCCGTGTGTGAAGGGAAAAAGCCAGCTCAAACCCTGTATATAAAGCTTTTGTGAAAGCATTTTGTTTGAGAAGCATGGATTGACCCACGTCCCGGCCGATCATGGATCGAATCTAGTGGCCCCGTGTACCACCAACCGCTTCGCTCGACTCGCATGGCAAAAGGCTCAGTCTACGCTGCGCTGCTCCGATAGGATCCACAGTGGTAGCGGAGCTCCTGACGACGATCCATGAGCGATGGAGAAGAGCAAGCAAGAGGAGGAGTACCCGGCCGCTCGGCTTTCAGTGCTGCGGCTGCTAGAGCTGCGAGAGGGACAGAAGGCTCGGAGGGTCCGAGCTACAAAGACCGGGAACCGCCCCCTTCTTGGAGCGGTGAGGACCCGGAAACCACATTCCAGGCTTTTGAAAGGAATGTGCGCTTGTGGGAGTTCGAGACGGATATCCCTCGCATCAAGAGAGGGGTGAAGCTCATGAGGGCCATGCAAGGCCTTGCAGCACTAGCCATGGAAGAACTCAGTTTTGATGACATTGCATGTGAAGATGGGGTTCGCAATGTGCTGAACAAGCTGAAGGAGTTCTTCATGCCGCAGTTGGAGGTGAGCCTGCCGAGGGCCTTTGAGGCGGCGGTGTACGGTGCTCCTCGAACGTCCAAAGAAGGGTTCTCAGAATACATAGGCAGAATGGAGAGGGCGTTCAACCGGTTGAGTCGTGAAGGTGTAGATCTACCTGAAGGAACCCAAGGATACATTTTGTATCGTCAAGCTTCACTGCAGGATCACCAGGAGCAAAGGCTGTTGACATGGTGCGATGGGAAGTATGACAAGAAGATCATCGTGAAGAGCTTGAGAAAGCTCGTCAAGGTCATCAAGGATAAAGGAAAGGGGCACTACATGACTGAGGAGTCCGTCGGCACGAAGGAAGGAGAAGATAGCAATGAGACGGACGATGGAGAGTACATCTACCTTGAGGACGGCGACCTTGACGAGATCTACGAGGAGAACGATGTGCAGATGGCATTGGCATCATAATTCTTAGTTCTGGTGGTTCAGGGGTTTGCTTTGCATCCAGGGGTTTGGCTTTCCAGTATCATTCTGCACCATTCATCTGCACTTCATGACTTAGCTTGGCAAGCTTGGTTTGGAAAACTTAGCTTGGGATTTCTGGACGCCAGGGCTGTTGCCCAGTGAGTTTGAGCCAATTATTTTTGTGGATGCCAAGCTACTATTACATAGCTATTTTGTGGTTGCCAGGTGTGTAGCGACGGCTTCGAAAAGAAACGCGGAAAAAACTGCAAACTACACTTCACACTTCGCACCCACCCACCCACTCACCCATTTTCTCTGGGTCTGAAAGCCACGTTCAGTTCTTGGCTGCCAGGCGGAACAAGATGCGTTTTTCTTCTTGCTCACGAATGTCAAAAACTAGCACGCTAGCAAGCCAGTGAGGGACACTGGTAACTTCATCATTCTTTACAATGAACCTGAGTTCCTCTTGTAGAATAATCTCCCGGTCAGCACACTTCAGCAGGTTCGCATTGTGAAGATAACGCATCACTTCTTTCACTTCTTCTTCCGCCAGCGTTAGAGATTCGAATTGGGTGTGGCCATCGTTGGATTCAATCTTGTACTCGTACAAGCTCACAGGTAATAAGCCAGATTCCCAAACTGTACCTTATGTGTGGATAGGAGGGTTCACTTTCAAAAGGATATCAACTGAAACAAAGTGAAGTTCCCCATTGTATGAACTCAGCGAAGTGGCCAAGTTTGGCAACATATTCTTGTTCCATGTTTGTAAGCTCCTTGTTGGCCACAGAGTGACTAGTCTCAAAACCCTGGCTCTTGAGACGCACACGCCAGTCGGTACGCCAGGGATAAGGTCCAAGTTTAAAGCAAGTCTAATTCTCATACATCCAAATCCCCTGAACTGTTCTGCGCTTTTTTTGAACATCTTGCAAGGAACAGTGAGTTAATGTTTGCACGCCTGACTTCTATATTATATACATTTTTGGGGGGTGGGTGTTTGCGCAACCAAAAGTCAGACTTGCAAGCCTGCCGAGCTGAATGGTTCACGCTTGAGGCCTCTGGAAAAGAACATGTTTTGTTTGGAAGCCTCAAATTTTTCTTGGGGGGGCCTCAAGAGTGGAACCTCACGGAGGGCGCTCTCATGATCTTGCGATCTCACAGAGCCTGGCCGGGAGTGCAGCTGAATCATGGCTCAGAAACAACCACTGTGCCATTGATGCATGTCAAATATAACTGCAACAACATGTCAATGCACCTCAAACCAGATCAATCGATCTCAGAGACCTCAACATCAGCATCCGCTTGCTCTTCTTCCTCGCCCTCATAGTCACCCTCCAGCTCAGCCCCCTCATCATTGTCATGTTTATCGGGTTTGGTCTCCTTGACTTTGGCCAGCGCTGCTGCAACCATAGTGTCCTGCAGATGGTTGGATGGTAAGCGCACACAAGGTTGCACATTTTTTTGCAAATGAGGTTGTACAAGGTTCGAGTTGACATGAGTTGACTTTCAGCTTCACTACCAAATGTTGGCTAAGGTGCCATCAAAGTAGAACCCGCTTCAACATCACCATGTGTTCGAATCAGTTCATTGCGCACTGCAACCTCATTCGCAAGCAAGTGTTGAAGTTTCATTCAACCAAGAGAAAATCAACATGTTCACCATCAATTTCCACATAGGAGTTTGCAACTCAGTAGCTGCGATCTCGAGCATGGCCTCCTCGGAAAGGCCTTCTACCGGCTTCAACTTAGTTGCGAAAAGCCTAATTACTAATTGGAATCAAGTCGTAGTACCTGGCAGCGCCCACCCAACAAACCCTATCAACATGCTATGGAGGTTTGATTGCAACAAGTCACTCGCAGTTTCTCAGACCCATTGATCTTGAAGCCATATTTCCCATCCTTGTAGCGGCCCTTGGACACCAAGACCTTTTCAGGCGGTGGCTTCTCACCATCCTTCATGATGGTCGACGAAGATGAGTCAGCCGCAGGCCGCTTGCATGCCGGTTTCTTGAAAGCGGCAGACGCACCAGACTCCTGATCTGCCTTAGTCTTAGCTTTGGGCACAGGTGCACCTTTCTTCGGTGTCACAGTCTTTCTCTCTTTTGGTGCGCCCTTAGCCTTAGCTTTTGTCTTTGGTGCGCCTTTTGGCGCAGGAGGGGGGGGGATCTTGCGGTCGCTCCTCGTCTGACAACGTATCAACGGCATCCAGTGCCATTGCTGCACACAGTGCTAGGTATCCACTCATGAGCGAACGCTAAATTGAACCACACTAAGATGTCACAGCTTCTCCACCCGCTCTCCCGTTGCAGGTGTTGTTGGTGGAAGTCCTCAAGTGTGGGCCTTGGATGTGAGACAGGTTTTCCCCTTCAGCGGAGCTCCAGCTGACACGTCTAGGCTCAGGTTCTTTCCCAAGCATCAGAATCACCAAAATCTAAGTGATTGACTGTTGGGCTGGCTCACCGAAAGCAAGTTGAATCCGATACATTTGATGTTTCAGTTTGGATATTGATAGTATGTTTGATATGATTGAAATATAGAAAGGCAAACATCTTACCGGTTTCATTTCCAGTCCTGCAGCCCATGCAATCACACTAGAACCCCCAAACTAAGTTCAGCAATCAGTTCAACTTGATTGCATGTCCATCTTTGATTGAAACAGAGCCCAACAAATAGAATTTGGGCTTGATAGGCTTCAGGGTGGCGGGTACAGAATCATCCACTTTCACCTGCGCACGAACCGCTGTTTGATGGGAGAGGGTAAGTCATGGCCACGAATCAACACCAAAATGAACACCGGGCCTCCCAGACAAGACCACAGAGCTGGCATCCCCGAAGCTGGGAGTATTTGGAATGGAAGCAGGCCCCCAGCTGCACTGAGCGCATGCCCAGCCGATTGCAATCACTTGGTAGCTCCTTTGGCTTGTAAGCATTCACGGAATTCATGGGCGAGATGTCATACCGATACGCTAGTGGCCTCTGGTCAGCGCCCACCTGCACATGTATGTGTGTTCTGTGATGTTCTGTGAGAAGGAGTGGAAGTATCCCCAAACCCCGATATACTGTACGTCTTACCTTTGAAATATTTTGAAATATTTTAAATGGGACCTCGCCTTAGGCTGCAAGGCGTGGTCAACAATTCGGATCTCAGTTATGCCTCTTTGTTTTGTCACGTCGCAAAGAATCTCTGCGATTGACTTGATCTCTTTGGTGTCTGCCAAGGCCACCAGAGTCTTGTCCAGCTTGACCAGCCATGGAATATGCGAATCAGAAGGCTCAGCAGACCCTGGATATTTTGGCGCAGATCATTCAACTAATGGATTGCATATGTTGTTATCCATATGGACAGACAATGAAACTGCTGCGTGATGTTGTGTGTATTCAGAACGTTTGGTCTCCCCATATACCTCGCCTAGTGGGACCTCCGAATAGCTTCCGATATTGAAACCAAAGATTTCACCAGCTGAGATGTCCAGCGTCGTTCCATTCCCAATCTTGTTCAACAGCCAAATGTGGTTGTCAGTGGTGATGCCCACCTTGATCCCTTGCACCCGGGCGAGGTCAGCCATGTTCTCCAGACTCAGTGGCATTTGCCAACAAATTGTTGTTGCAAGTATTGAGAAATACATACTAAACAGGTGTTCCCCAATAGAAACATGTGCCTAAACTATCTAAGCTTCGCGTTGGAACCCTCGAACTCGCTCAGCGGAACTTGATGCTCAATGATACGTTTTCGGACGTTCAATGGCCCATCTCCCTGCCAGTCTGGTGTTGCCAGGGTTCGGGTGGTGTTCGCTGTCGGTGATTGGCCAGGACTGGTTCTCTGGCTCGACGCTCGAAAAGTCTTCAGGGCTTGAAGGACAGAACTCTCAGCCTGCAATCGGTCCAGGAACGCGTTCATGCCAGGTTGCTGCGTATATTTTTGCTGCGCCGCTTCAGGAATCCTTTGCAGGCAACAAGATTTGCAGGCAACAAGAAACCCAAACACGATAGGAGTTTTTGGCATTCTTCACGCAGGTTTGGTTCCAACAGAACACAAGACATGACTGTTAAATTCAATTGCGTGCAAAAAACTTCAGCTCTCCATCATCAGTCACCACCAAAGTCTCCAGGGACGGTAAGGGCTGTGAGAAGGTGGTGCATTCACGGCGTTTTGAACCAGCCGCTTCAGAAGAATCCCAGAAATCATTGATCAGACGACCCATCAAGGCCTCTTTAGCTGCAGTCAAGTCAGCTACCGAATCTGAGTGGTAGGTCGCCAGGAAACGCACATCCAAGTCCTTTGAAGCATCCTGCAGGAGCTCGCGCTGGATCGACCAGGAGGCCAAGGACCACTCTGAAAACCTGGGAGGGAGCGTTGAGAGGTTGTGACAAAAGTGGAGAGGTTGGAAATCTAGCGTGTTGAACATTTTCGAAATCATCCAGGCCTGCTGGGCAATAAATCAACTACCAGTAGTGGGTGTGGCGACTGGGTGGCTACGCCCTCGACCAGGTTCTTCAAGATGGCAGCTGTAGCTTGCACACCCCTCTGCTGCACCTAAGATATGTTTTCCTATTAAACACATATCCATTGATAACAATTATAACAATTGCAATGAACACTCAGTTCGATTCAACCTCATTTGATTCAAGAAATGCGCCAATGTGGCGCTAAAGCCCTTTCCGGATCGGGGTTGACCAAATCAACGACACGACTCCTTGCCACATCGCATATGGACCCGAGCAAGGCCTTCGACTTCACGAACGCGGCGCTGTTCCAGGAGGCGCAAATAGCAGCAAGACCTGGGCAGCGGCGGGGTTCGGGTGTTTTAAGTGGCATTGCTTTTTTCAGCCCTCTAGGTTTCCAACATACACTTTTCAAACTCTATGCATTCAAAGTGCATTGTTGGGATGTCTTTCGCCGGTCGCCTTGATGCAGAGAATTGGAATAGTTCACGGAGATCTCGAACACGTCCATGCACCTAGAGACGAACTGTTGATGATAACTCAAATTTGGGGCCAAGCTCAAAGCGCATGCAGGTTAGATCAGGTTAGGCGCGCCCCCAGCTTGTCCTCCAACAACCTTCTGTGTTGCAAAACGGTTGACCATTTGGTACTAGTGTGCATCTGGGGCAAGCAAAAGAAGGCGACGGTGTTGACGTTGCCAGAGCTCACAGACTGACAAATCTGGATTGATTCATCGATCGACAACTGACCTGAGGAGAGGTTGGGACACCAAGAGCAGAATGGTTTGTGGTTTGTCAAAACAAATGTACAGCAAGGAGCGGGATGGCCACAAAGTAGCATCCACAACGAGAATTGTCAGCCTAAGTTGCAGCGGTTTGTGTACCTGAAGGGCTCCGAACCTCAAACACTCAACAGCTTAATCAAGTGGCCCCTCAGAACCCATCTCCGCTTGGAGAGAAACAATGTTGCTGTGCGCTAACACCAGCGAGGGGTAGTGGCATAGCCGGTGCTTCTTCTCCAAGTATTCCGAAGCCCACTCCTTGCCCTTCTGGAAACGATCCGAGATGTGCTTGAAGTCCAAAGCTCCCTGGAGTAGTGCGAGAGAATGGGAGTTATACGGATTCAATATACACAAATACCAGAGGCATGTTTTTTCTTTTTAAACATCACTCAAACACTCAAGCCTGTTGCTCTGCATACAGCTGAAACTGCTGGGACCACACTTGCAGTTTGGAGAGCTCTTCGGACATTTGCAATTCAGTTTGTTGCCACGTGGTGACCAAAAGCTGTGCGCTCAACCTACATGGCTTCCAAATACTTCCAAATTCTCACAAACATAAAATGTTAGTACTTGATAGTACTTGGGAATCACCTCTTAACACCTGCCAGGAAGCTCAGCTGCTTTGGCGCGGTTGTCCTTTTCCACCTGCCAAGATCTCAGCTGCTTGCCACCAAGAAAGAGAAGCGCACTAATCCACGCTAACCCAAAAAGGGTTTAGAATCCTGGCCTGACTGTGATACTTCTGGATGTAACCTGAGAAGATCGAAATCTTGTGAAGTCCAGCTGGCGGTACTGAAGTTTCCAGGAGCTGGATGATATCTGCGTCCCCATGACGCAGCTCAAACCTGAATGTCTCCACCAAGAAAACAGTAATACTAGCTGCTAGTATTGCTAGCGTGTTGAACTGTTTGAACTATGTGTTCATTTATTTTTCATGTTGAGAAGACTGACTCAACCAAGTCACGTTTTGTGAATGTCAGCAAGGCACCCATTAGCAAAGCCAGGAGGCACCAAGGAAGTGAACTGGTCCAAGCAGGCTAAGAAGCCTCCGCAAACCCGCTGCAATTGCTCCTCAGATATTGAACAGGGTCGATGCTGAGTGTGAATGTGTTCCCACACCAATTGAAACAACACGCGCATAGGTTGCAGTTTCACCAAAATCATGTATCAACCTAGGCCTAGGGTCTACATCGCGTTGGCTCCATGGCCGCCGCTGCTTGACTGCAAGCGCTGTCCAATCCTTTTCCAGCCGTGTCAGCAGGAGCCGCAGGAGCGGCACGGAATTGGTGAGTTGAGATTTCCAAGGAATCATGATGCCGCTAGCAGTAGTGTGACCTTCGTTCAGCAGATTGGTCGATATGGCCTCGTGCGTTATAAATCGAGATTGGGTATATCTCCTCAGGCACCGAGGTTCAGGTGTGTGACAAATATGGATGTTTTGGCGCTCGCATATAGGTTTTGTTTAGAAAGACACAGCGCGCAAGGATATCAAAACCAAGTCTCTGAACCAGCAAAGTCAAACAATCCTTCACCTCCCCTGGGATCTTGGTCAGGAGGTTCACAGCGGCCCCACATTCCTGCTTTCCAAGTGCGTAGCAGGACGCAAAGTTGGCAATCCCATCAGATGCCTGCACAAACCCAAAATCCGAAAGTTCAAATGAGATACGTGCATATCCACTCACATTTAGCAAGACCCCACCTCAAGACTGCCCAGGACTTGTTCCCGGCTAAGGCCACTGCGCATCATTGTTTCGAGCTGATGCACTAGGTTGAACGCATTTGGCCTTTTCCTGATAGTCGAGCTGCATGAAATCCCTGGCATTCCGAAAGGGACAGGAGACCTGCCTAGTTTCTATTGACCTGCCTAGTTTCGAGCCTCGATTTGTAGCAACAATGTGATTGATGTCTGCGGTGACTGTGGTCGCATACATCGTGCTGAAGCTCCTTGAGGTACAGCAGTATGACAAGTGTGATGGCCAATAGGACACTTGCACACATAAAAGATCATAAAAGCATGTATATAATTGGTTGTGCGTGAAACTGTTAAGTATCCACACTGATTGCTGGCCAGGCGCTGGCGGACCGAATCTGGCATAGCCTGCTAAGATCAAAACAGCCAGTGCTGTGTGCGTGTATTGTATTGGAAACCTACCAGCTGTAGTCCAATGAATATCACAAAAATTCACAAAAGAACCCAGCCTCGAGCATTTCCGGGACCATGAAGGCTGCATAGCAAACTGTCAGACAACAAATGCTGCGGTGCCAGCCTTTGACCATGTATACACTGCCCGGACCTGCCAGACTGCCATCCTCAAAACTCAAATCCTCCTGGACCCGAACTTTGGCCAAAGGCGAACAAAGCCAACTGGATTGGGTGACGGTGCAGCATAGCTTCTCTACTCCTGGCTGGTCTGCCGAAGTCATCATGCCGTTGAGTAGAATCAGCTGACACAATGCATGTTGGGTATCCTTGGTTTCGTACATACATTGAGTATGCCTAAGTACAAAGAAATCCACTGCATGATGATAGTGCACAGATTCAAATTTGGCGCTGAGCTGCGATGTCACCTGTCCCTCGAAGCCCAAGGTCATGTCTAAAAGGCAGTTGCCATGGTCGTAGTTGAACAGAACCGGGATGTTGGAGATCAGTGATAGTACAATACTTCCTGAATGCACTTGGTTTGAGGGGCCAGCAAACTAAACAGCTACGCAATGTCGTTCTTACAAAGTCTTCATCTTCTCGTGAGTTTACAAAGACAGGTTGAGCAGACCCCCCAACTCTTAGGCAGATCTGAGAGCATGACACTCCCGAGGTCGGAGGGAATTTCTCCTCCAAGAACTTGTAGAAGCCGAAGGCAGTGGCCTGAGAGACACCGAGTTTACAAGCAATCCGAACGAATTCAAAACTGCACATAGCCTCATCTGCTAGATGTTGAGTGAGCAAAGCATCCACGGTCAGGTTCTTGTCCAAGACATGTTCTTTCCTGGTGGTAAATTGAATCAGAGTTTTTCCATGGGTGTTCTTTCCCAAGAAGTACGACTTGTTGTTCATTTGTTGTCCAAGGTTCATCCAACTCTCAAAGAGTGACATGTGCGCTAAAGCCAAAGAGTCAGCAGGAGCTCCCATAATCTCACCCGCTTTGGCCTTCTTCTGCTTTTGCGCCTGAGGCTGTCCGCCCGAAGTCCTCTTCTTCGGCGCCATGTCTAAGACCTGGCTTTTTGTTGGCATGTTGAGGTCAGTGTTTACAATGCATCTCTTCACAAACGACACTCTCAAAGGGACACGGTCATTTGTGAATAAAGACGACCCGTTTATTCACAAATCTCATCGGCCGATGCAAGAGTTCGAAGATCGGGGGAGGTGCGAGCGAGTTTATGAAGGATTGTGTCTGGATCCTACCGGTTTGTGAAGAAAGACGACCACTTTCTTCGCAAAACAGGGGTGTGGGACAAGGTGCAAATTTGTGTGGTGGACATTCTTCACAAATCCCAGCGGGTCCGTCCAGGATTCTTCACAAAACACGCCTGGATTTGGTGGATAGTTCACAAAATACCCCATTACTCTTCAGAACCAGCCCTCAATCTGAGGCATTGTTTTCCCTTACCGGATGCCCAGATACGCTCAGTGACACCTTTGGTGTCCAGAATCCCCTAAACCCTTGCCAGTGCTTCGCTGACAATCTTGATAGCTTCCCCCATCGGTACTCCGCACGACCAAAGCCTTGTAGCAGCTATGTACAGAGCTTGGTTCCGACGGGCCAAATCATATCGAACAGCATCCCTACGATTTGGCCGCTGGGCCACCATACGAAGATGGTTTTGGGCCTGAGTCGGAAGCATTCTGGCATCAATACTGGTATCCCGCCAGGCAGTTGAGGTTCAGACCGGTTCCAAATTTCGACCAACAGCTATCGGGTTGGCTGGCGCTCCAGGTCCAAGTCCAGGTCCAAGATGTGGCAGGGCCCTCAATGAGTTAGACAGGGCCATCAATGAGTTAGGTAAGTTACAGGGGTACACTGGGTTTCGCATCGCATCATAGTCTTCACTGGGTTTCGCAACTTGGGCATGGACCAGCTTACATCAATGAATGGCGCATGGGTGTGAACGCCGTTTGCATAGTCTTCCAGCGCATCGGCCGCACTGAACATGTCGAAAGGATCAGCGCCTGACCACGGATCCACGGGTGTTCTTTATCAAGGGAGTTTGGTTGGAAGGCTTTTGGTGCAACTAGTGGTTTTCTACTCATTTTGGAACGACATCAAACACGCACTCAAGCCAGGTACCAATGGAGGTCAAAAGGGCTCAAAAGTTGTGTCCTCTTGAAGTCTGCTGGTCCTCTGGTTTTGTACGATGGTCTGAGGTCCGAGCGCATCAAGGATGCATACTTTCGGAAGGCCTTGCTCTCTTCGGAGTCGGGGTTCACAGGGTTCTCCCAAAAGACTGCGCAGGATGTGTATTTGCATTTTGCATTGTTCTCCCAAAAGACTTAGGTAACTGACAAGTAACTTTGCGCCATCATGGTGAACATGTATGTGTGGCCTGGCGGCGAGTCACCTTGCATAGCACGAGCCACAGAAGCTGGGAGCATCAGCATGGCCGGGCCATCCCAATCTTCATTGCTCATGAACTGCTTTGTCCTATCAAGCAACATTGGTAGTCATAGTTGCTAAACACTTGAAACACTTCAAGATCCTGAGGATAACATCTGCACCGCTTGGTTCATAACGCCGCATGCTCCAAAACTCTTCCTTCAAGGTGTTGCGGGCTATTCCTGCCAGCAAGAGTGGAGTGCCCAGACAGCATGTTCATAGGACTCGTTTGCTGTAGTTCTTAGTTGTATTGCTTTCTCAAGTTCTCATGGGTAAGAGCTGACTGCTTATAGTCTCCTGTATCCTCAATGCGATCAAGCCTGAAGACATGTGGGGCGCCGGGACCTCCAATTCCGGTGACGTGCGCATCTTGAAGCCAGTTCTGCAGGAAATTCTTCCTTTTTTGGTGAATGGGCTGACCAGTCTGACTTATGTTCTGCTAGCCTATATTGTACATCATCATAAAACAAAGAGTTGCTGAATTCTCTTTTGAGGGTCCAATCTCTGAACTGCGTAAGCAAATACACCTTCCGTGAAGCCTTCTCCCAAGGCCGCCTTTCGGTATTGGCAAAGAACCGTTGCATGTAATTGACATAATCAGTCGGTGTCCACAGATCTTGGGAGGTCTCAAGGTGCGCAGCAAATTGGGAAAAGGTGCTGTCAATGTCTTCATGGGAGTGTCCGCTGCTGAGGTAGGAAAGCTGAACAGCCCTTACCTTCTTCAAAGCGCAAAGGGTTGCCATTTGCTGCAGCATTGTGTTGTTCTTGAGCTCTTTCGAGCAGTTGTCGGCTTGACAATGAATCACGCAATGCCGAAGATCCAGACGGCGAGACAGGAGTGATAGCCCGTGCATCAGGATCTCGCAACTCCGACTGGAATTAGCACTCACAACATGAGGCGACAGAGCAACATGCACCAAATGCCCATGTATTATCAGGGTGGTGTTGGTCAAACGCGGTCGGTTGAAGGCGTTGAGTTCCTTGGAGTACATATTATTTGACTTCGGCCAAGAATGCTTGGCTGCGTGCATAGAGTCGAGAATGCAGCAAATTGTGTGAACCTGTGCGTTGGTAGACTCCAGTCGAGATTGCGCTCTTAGGCTCCAATAAATTTGACGATCCCTGTGCTGACGGGACAGGTGCTTCAATAGTAGCTTCTCTTGAGCCCTGCGTGCAGCGCCTTGATTCCCCAACTTGCGAATAATCAACCGGTGCTTGAGGCACTGAGAGCATTTAGAGTGATGATTTTTGAAACGTATACGTAGTTTGTCGTCGAATTCAGATTGCCAGACCTTATGTTGGAAGAGGTGTTACCATTTGACATAGAATAAATAACTCTGTGGGAAAGTTTTGTTTGCCAAAAGCAAAATTTACTAATGCTCAGCTACACTCGTGAAAAGCTTCTTGCTCACTTTCACTCCAGGTAGAGCTGCTTTACACTGAATGTAATAATCATTGATCGACGCGTGGGGTAAATGTTTGATGTTCCCTCGATTCATGTCTTCTCGGTCATAGCGATTGTTGGCTTGACGTGGACGTTTGTTTGAGTTCAATCCATCAGGGATCGTCTCCGCGCACTCAAGGTATAATTGAGTGAGGTGCTCGTGCACTTTGAACCATGCTTCCGAATGATTCGTCGTAGGACCCTTGGGGATGTATCTAGAATCATAAGGGCAATATTCAGCTCCTTGTGACAACGCTCGCCTCATCTTCTCAAACCTCCCCTTGCCGATCCCCATCAACTTGGCAAACCCCTTGTTGCACAATTGATGCCCTGCATACACCAAATGCCGCGAGCCTCGACATGCCGGCTCAGGTGTCTTCTGCATCAGAGAGTACACCTAGGCCACTTAGGCCCGGGGTGGAGGCACAAACAGTGATACCAGATCAATGACTGCTCAGGACAATTCACTGTTTGGACAAAAACAGAAGTGAGGACCTGACATGAGTATCCTTCTCAAGCTTGGTCATGGAAACAAAGAGGGTCCGCAATTTCATCCATTGGTCCCACAAAGCCAAACTGAGTCTCCAGGGATTGAAGCAGTCTGCAGTACACCCACACTTGGAATTAATCAACCTCCTCAGTTGTTGCGGGTCAGCAGTATTTGTGGAAGCTACCGCCTTTCGAAAGCCACGACCAGGCCGCTTCGCTCGCCGAATCCCTTGATTTGATTTCTTGAGCGCCGCCGGATCCTCCTCATCACTAAGAGCAAAAACGCCTGGAAGTAGGGTAGTCATAGCGCCGACCTATCCCAAAACAGTCTTCATTGATATGTTTGATGGTTCACAACCATTGTAATTTCACAGTCTCACACCTTCCCTAAGCAAAACCGGCCTGTGCCCCGTCACAGGTCAAACCAGCAAGGCCGCTCCAGAGGCCCGCGCCTGGGATGTTCTCTCAGGTTTGACCAACGTGGGGGTTGATCCAGTTGGTTCACCAAAGTCTGATTTGAAGCCAAAGAGCAAAATGCAACGAGACCAAAGGTGGTGCACGGCATAGGGTCACAAATGAAACATTGTTCAGAAAAAGAACACCAATGGGCATGTTTCCACCATCTTTGAGCTGCCACTAGCTAGTTGCTGCCAGTATCATTCAGTGCAAGGAAAAACATGTTTCGCACAACATCCATGTTTCGCTTGTAGCATTACTTGAAGCACTTTGTGGACCAAGACCTTGCGAGCCAAAACATGCTAAACCAGAATATAGCGTTGTCTAGGGCCCAAGTGACAAACAAGTTGAACGCTCGTGGAAAACACGCCGGAGACACCCAAAGACCTGGAGCTTCGAGCCCAAGACAAGCGGCCCAGGAAAAACGGCTGAGGCAAAAATCTGAATCCTTCACGGGAGTTCAATTTTAGGAGTTTGCCCATCTGTGCTTGTCCAAGTTTCTGCAATGGGGCTGGTCAAGTCATTTTTTTGGCAAGCCTAGGTTCAACTCACACAACTGGCAAGCCTAGTGGAAGTCCCACTGAAATTGCACCGAACTTGGCACTGAATTGCTGACACCGGCAATGCTTCTCACAGCCATGCTCTATTTGAAAGGTTATTCGAGAATCCTTTTTGTTCAAAACAGCATTGGTTCTAGAAATCACACATTCTAGAAATCACCTAGAGGTCTCTGACATGTCAAATACTCAGAAATCACCTTTGAGCACGCTGCTCTGCAGCCAAGATGTTCAGCGCTAGCTTACACATGTCAGGGATCACACAATTCCCCACAGCATGCAGGCGGGATTTGGCCTCGGCATGCTGCTCCTGGTCCAGCCACTTTGTCAGCGGAGGTTTGTTCTCCGGGTGCCATGGTTTGGCAGGCCAGTGCTTCAGGTCTTCATCCGAGAGGGTCTTGAACTCCTGCATGACGACAGAGACAAACACCCCAACCTCAAACCTGAGTTTGGGGGTTGCGACGACAAGCTGGATTGTTTTTAGTTTAACAAACCCTGCCTGACTGAAGAAATTAAAGTTCTGTTTGCATGCCAGTAGAAAAACCCGTTCTCGCCACACCTCAGGCTTATACGGACTTGAATGGTTGACCGGCCAAGGGTTTGTCATGTGTGGTCAAGGCACCGAATGGCCACACATGTGCCCTGTGACCACCGCATAGCTGTAGGTCATGTTGCGATCTAGAATCTCCTGTTGTGGGATCAAAGTGGGAATTGGAATCACACATATCATGTTGAAAGGAACCCTCCAAGTATATACATCCAAGACCATGCCAAGTACTAGACCTGCTCAATGCGCTCCCACAGCTCTTGCATCGAGTTGTCACTGCCCAGGAGGTTCGATACGTTCTCCATGAGCAAGAATCGCCTGGGCTGCAAGAATCACTGGACGGGTTTGCGGGGTTGTGTTCAGGATTGTTCAGGTCAGTGCTTTGCGCTAGTGTAGACACCAAACAAGTTAAGGCTAGCTGCGCTTGGGTTTCATCCAGCAAGCGAAATAGATGAGATACCAAACTTGTCCGGGGATCCAATAGACCAAGCCTGCTGCCTGCTCTTGAGGCGCCCTGGCAATGACTCAACGACTTTAGGATTCCACCTAAGATTGATAAGAGTGAACCGGTGTCTGATGAGTAACGACCTGTGTGAAGACATGTCAGAAGCGCTTGGCAAGGAAAGCCGGCTGTGATGCCATCAAATCGACCCAGCCAGTAACTGCCTTTGAACTCTTCGATTTTCTCGAAGATCGGAGCCACGCGCAAATGCCCTTCAGCCATGCGGCTGCCGATGACTTGTTGACAGTACTGGTCCTGCTCGACCTGAATGAGGGCAAGCTGAAAAAAACTTGAAAGTTCAACAGAACCTTAGCCTTTCAGGCCCTGACAATGGCATGTGCTTCACAAAACCTAGGCCCAAGTCACAAACTAAAGCACTACATGAGCAATTAAGTTGAAGCGCTACGTAACAATAGGTCACTTCAGGCTCGAACTCAGAAGCTCCCAGCTCCAAGCCGCAAACCCCAGCAAAGCAGCTCAAAACGCGATGCTTGCGAGCCTGGCACTATGACAAAGGGTGACGCGAAGAACACACCCAGAGCATCCTAGATTGAAAAAATCAATCGCAATTGAAATTTTCAAGCGCCACTTGAAAATATGTAAAATTCAATAGATTTTTCAAAAATTCAATCGAAATTTCAATATCAAAATTCAATCGAAAATTCAATCGAAAGTTGTTCAAAATTCAATCGAAAATTCAATCGAACATTCTGTGTTTGATTAACATTTTTGATAATATTTGATATGTTTAAAGGTTATTACTTGAGCCTTTATATCTAAGGTCCTAGGGCTATCCAGCCCATGAGGCTTGTCCAGCCTATTTTTGTTGTGTCCAGCCCTGGGGCTATCCAGCCCATGAGGCTTGTCCA